AAAATAACAAATATTTTATCGGGAGTGTTTATGCTGGGATGTTGTGGAGCTTAGGAGATGTTACGGAACCATTTCATGTAAATTTCTTCGATGTACTGAAAAAAATCTATATAGATTACTTGTATGCGGACTTTTGCGGGCGGGGGCGGGACAAAACATGAATGTCGCGGGCGGGAGCAGACAAGATATTTTTATGCGGGAGCGGGCGGGCGCAGGTCTCTATTTGGAACAGTTACGCTAACAACAATAAAAAGACATGTATGACAGTAAAACAGCGACATCTGCTGACGGACACCGTGCTGCGTTGTCACGAGAACACGCCAGCTGAAGATAATGAGGAAATTACATCGCTCCCTTTGCCAAGTGCATTCCAAACGACTACATACAGGTGCATACGCATGTGCCCTGCTCACTCCAAAGTCCCCACTCCAAGAGCAGTGTTGCCAATTTAGCTACTTTGTAGCTAGATTTAGCAACTTCCCCGCCCCTTTTGAGACTTTTTTTCAAAAGTTTAGGGACAAATATAGCAACTGCTTGGACAAACCTTATCTAAGTTCTCATCTTGCCCACTGATCTACTTTCATCTTTATATAGAGCAGTGAATTTGCCATTGTGATGTCATCTAGTGACATTTAGCTACCAGTTTTAGCTACTTTCAATTGAAAGCAGTTGGCAACAATGTCCAAGAGGATAGGGATGATCACTTCCATTTGGAATTTGTCCGTGAACCGTTCGGTACATGATACACGTACCGTTACACCCCTGCCATCAAAATGAGAGTTCAAGCAGCTGATAAAACATTACAATAATCCACAAGTAATCCACACAACTCCAGTAGAAACAAATCAATCATTAAGAAATTTTAAGTTCTTGACATTGCTTCCATAATCCATAATAACACTTCCTCCAGTGAAAAAGTCCATGCCCTGTTGTCCTTTCACATAAAATCCACCAAAATATTTGTTTAGAACTGTTTTGGCTTGTAAATGGTGCTTGAGCTTGCTTGCATATTTCTCTCTTGATTCAGACGAGACATTTTCACTGGAGAAAGCAATATTAAGGATAAAGTACTTGTATTTTGGCCACAAGTAACGGTATGAAGTAAAAAATGTCTTGATGGATTTATTACAAACACAGCTTTACACCCCACAAGATGTTAATTGATGGACTGAAGTCGGATAGATTACTTGGATGTTTAGATGTTACTGTGATGTTTTTATCAGCTGTTTGGACTCTGTCTATTCTCTCAAGTGATGTAAATTTCCAAATCTGTTCTGATGAAGAAACAAACTCATCTTGGATTGTCTGAGGGTGTCAATTTTCAGCAAACTTTCATTTTTGGGTGAACTATTCCTTTTAGATAAGGAATTTTTGCAGTGTAGTAATGCATACAGTAAGGAGTTCAGTGTGTGTATATGTATCTCTGCTCTGTTTTATTTTTCTTCATAAGCTATTGTGCAGTCTTCTCCTGCAGAGCGATAGATTAAAGAAAGAGAGAGGTGTGAAAAAAAAAAGTTTAAGAACTTTTCAGCACCAGTCTCTAATGACATTATGAAAAATATGAAGTTACACTCACAGAGTGAACATGTATGCACTGAGAAATATACAGTACTCCTGTATGTATGCATTAAAGCATATGTACTTAGCAGTACTACACTTTTCTTTGTGTGTGTCAGGGTACCAAATTTAGCAGCAAACTAAATCTATAAGTGAATTAGCTTATACTTACCCATGTCAATCTTTAAGTAATTATTGGAGATCATGAAACATGTTATCAAAAACCTAGACGAAAGCAATCGCATCAACTGATAAACAGCAGATGTTAAAAACGGTTAATGAGGAAAAGCACACAACATAGTAACATGGCTGCTTTACTGTTCTGAAAGCGAAGGAGCTTTCAAACAAACAATGTGGTGGGAGGTACGTAAACCAATTATCGTCTGCAGTAGGAAGCGCACACTAATGACTACATAATGAGAATGCACTCTGAGAAACTCATCGAGTTCTGCTGTATGAAAACTGCTCCAGTAGATTACAGCAGTAATCACTACAGTGTTGGAAAATATCTAACTAAAAGTAACAATGCTACTACATTTTTCAGTAGCGTGATAGTAACTCAAGCCTTTTCTATTTTAATATAATAAAATGCAATTTATCCCTGTGCGTCAAAAAACTGCACAAGGACATGAAGGTTGAGGATTCAAACGCAGTATTTATTAAAGGAGTACTCCACAATCAAAGTCCAAAAACAGGCTAAGGTCATAACACGGACAATCAGTCCAAACAATAGCAAACACTGGCAAAGGGTAATCCAAAGACAAGCAGGAAAACAAAACCAGGAAACGAGGCTTAGAAATGCAGTGTAGACACATACAAGACTTAGCAATGAATGACAGAACCGGGAGAGAACCAGGCTTATATAGGGTGAGCTAACAATGCTAATGAGACACAGGTGCAAACAATGAGTGCTGATGAGACCGGGCAGAGGATTATGGGTAATGAAGCCCTTGATGGAGTGGCAGTAGTCTGGGATGGAGTGTCCTCTGGTGGCCATCAAGGGCACTCCAGCTGGTGATCGTGACACTGTGATGGCAAAGCTAAATTTTTTAAGCAACCATTCGCCTAGGCTTCAGTGTCACATGATCCTTCAGAAATCAGTTTAATATGCTGATTTATTGCTCAAACATTTATTATAATCAATGTTGAAAACAGTTGTGCTGCTTAACATTTTTGTGAATAAGTGATAATTTTTTTTCAAGATTCTTTGATTAATAGAAAGTTCAAAGAACAGGTTGAAATAAAAATCTTTTGTAAAATTATAAATGTCTTTACTGTCACTTTTGTCCTTGCTGAACAAAAGTATTTATGTTTTTAAAAATGGACTGACTCCAAACATCTGAATGATAGTGTAAATCAATTATTCAAAGATTCATTTGAGACCCTGTATCTTTTTTTTTTAGCCAAATATTTATCTGGACACTGTTTTGTATTTTTGTGTTTATTTGTTGAATTTAGTCTAAATTGGTTTATTTATTTTTTTCTTATTTTTTTCCCCCTCCAGTTACATCCTCACTGTTTTTGTACCAGGTGTATATTGCTCTGATTCCAGAGTTAAATATAATCTCATAGCTTATATATTGTCCCCATAAATATCTTTAACGTTATTAGCTGCTTTCTGCAAGCAACTTCGTAACCTATTACTTTTTCTAAAGGGTAGCGTGGGTGTAGTTTAGCTAGTCCTAGCTGAAATTATGAGCAGTTTCTCCACCATTCAGGTATAAATGAAGAATTGTGCAGATATTTGTACTGTTTCCTGTGCCAGACCAAGGAGGGAGAAAGACAGAGAGGATGAGGGAAGTGGAATGGTTATATTACCGAAGGAGGAGTATATTTTTTGCACAATCAATTTTTGTCCTCACAAATTTGAGGCAGAATCCATAAACCCAGATAGAGAGAGATGACCACTCTTTCGGGGGAGAAAGCAAGAGAAAGACAGAATTTAATGGGATTCAGCGAGAGGGATGAACAGAATGAAAATGACTACATCATTGTGTCGTCTCTCCTGATAAACGTGCACAATAAATAAGGAGAGAATGCTTTAAACAAGCCAAACAGCTCATATTCAGTGTAATGCCTGTGTAATGTCATTCACCAACAGCAAATAAACAATCCATAGAACAAACACACACAAACTATGTTTTCTATCATAGTGGGGAGTTTCTATTGACTTCAGTTGTGTTTATACTGAGATAATGACACTTTCTATCCCCAGCCCTAAACCGAAAGGGATAGCTCACCCAAAAATTGCATTTCTGTCATTATTTACTCATCCTCATGTTATTTCAAACCTGTATGACTTTCTTTCTTTTATGGAACCCCCCAAAAAGTCAGTGGGCTTCAGTGTTGTTTTGAATTCCACTAACTCTCATTGTATCGACAAAAACAGTTAAAAAAATATTTTTTTGGGGGTGAACTACTCCATCAAGGCTTGCAGAAACCTTTATCATTTTACATTTAATTAAAACATTATTTAGTCGGTTTATAAAGCCGGTTTCCTCATGGGGACCTTTGGGTGCTGAGCGATTGAATTTTAACCATTCGTCTGGTTTTTATGTGGCTCTTTTCAGGAGATTTGACCTATAAACTCTCAACATCCATAACAGAATCCTATTATAGTAAAGCCACTAGGTCCAGGCCAGAGGTTCAAACATGGCCTTGCTTTCCATTTGTTTTCTTAGACAAACACGCACACTTTTTTCTTTCACCTTGAGTTTGTTCTACAGAGGTTCTGCTCCCTTGGGAAAGACTAGAAGAGAAAAGGACACTTCCAGAAGACAGAAGGCAGGTCTGAGAGGAATAATCTGTGTGCTGATTTTTAATGGAAGGGCTAAATGCATTCTGGGAGGGTAGCCTGCTGTCTTAACCTCCATATGATGACTGAATTTCAGACACTTCAAACGATTGCTGCAGGCTTCTCGCTGTGTGATTGTATTGTAATACAGCCGTCCTCCATCTCTGCATGTGTGTGTGTGTGTGTTTGTCAGGACAGAGAGAAAACAAATGCCACACACAGTGTAATTCCACAGAAACAATAATCCAGCGGCTCACATTATTCAGTGGCATGCTGATAAAGTTTATCAACCTTTAATCTGCATGGCTAAAGGGTCTAACATGCTCTTTCCATCTCTCTCTATCGCTTTCTCTCAGTCTGAGTGCAAGATCTCATTTAACTCAAGCTTTTCTTTTCTTCCATTGCTCATTCAGTATATGTATGAGAAAACCTAAGGAATTTGTTTTTTTTTGCAGTGGCAAAACCATTTGGCTGTTCATTATTTATATGAACTCTAATTTTACAGCACATTATAATTAGGCTGTGAAAAACAGATATATTTTCAATTCACTAAGAAGTGTTCAAATATATAATAGTAATTAATCAACAGATGTCAGGGTGATGTTTTCAAGTTAAGAGTTTATGTTCAAGAAAAGCTGCTAGACTGAATGAAAGCACACACACATGGTGATAATTAGTTCTCTAGGATGGTTGCAGACGGTGTGAATTAACAGGTTACTGAACTGCTAAATGTGACCGCTGATGAATCAATAAAGCCAATCCTCTCGCTTTCTCTCTCTCCATCGACACAGATCCACTCCACTCTTTACCCATCAGCCAGGCAGTTAATCAATGTGATTATCCTTGAGAGAGATATATCTGAGAGAGAGAGAGAGAGAGAGAGAGAGGGAGAGAGAGAGAGAGAGAGAGAGAGAGAGAGAGAGAGAGAGAGAGAGAGAGAGAGAGAGAGAGAGAGAGAGAGAGAGAGAGAGAGAGAGAGAGTTGACATGTATCTCAAGCAGGAGAGATGAAAAATATGTAGAGTGATTTGTTTGATGGTCCTAGCTGTATTGAGTGAATTTGATTATTGTGACAGAGAGTTCTCTAATTTAGCACAGACTTTAACACACCGATTATGGAATATTTTGTTTAGGGATGCCAATTTAATGCTTTAATTTAGTGTGATTAATATAGTAGTGGAATCAAATAGAATGCAGGGGTCTCAATAAGAAAACATAGAGATGTGATGAAACAGCCAAAGATGGCAACCTGCATGTGAAAACACCTGCGGTTTTCAAACTGGTGAGTTGCAAATTGGGAATAAGTGGGTAGCACATAGTGTGAGAATGGTTGCAGGTTCATCCCGTGTCTGAAATATGAAAAAAATATGTTAAATTAAATATAGTTAACACGTTTGTTGGAGGGGATACAGTACTGTTGAAAAGTTTGGGCTCTGTAAGATTTAAAAAAAATACTTTTATGTAGCAAAGACATTAAACTGATCAAAAGTTACAATAAAGACAGTTAGATTTTTCTATTCTATTTTAAATAAAAGCTGTTCTTTTGAACTTGCTATTCATCCAAGATTCCTGAAAAAAAAAAATCTGTTACATTGATAATAATAATGACTCTTATCAGCCTTTTCTATCATTGAAATAGACCCATAAACTGAAGCGCCACTGGTTTGAATGAATCCCTCACTGAATGAACTTACCAAATTCCTAATAGCAGCTTCTGAATCAACATCACTTTTTTTAACTGCAAGTGCCATGTCAATGAATCATTCCCTCAGTACAGCCATTAGGCTGCTCTTACTTGTTGCACCACTAAAAAAAAAGTGAAAATATATCATTTGAAAATGTAATCTTTCTCTCAACTGTATAACTTTGTTCATTATCCACATTTTCATACCTTACCATAAAACTAACAATATTGCAATGAAACTGATATGTAAAAACATTAACTTAAAGAGAACAAATGTGTTTTTCTCCATTATATTAAAAAATGTCCAGAGATAGATTACACCTTTCTAGATAGGTCAATGAAAATGTTTGGGGATCCCTGGTGTAAACCCACAGTCTAAAAATATCATAGCTGAAATACCAGATGTCCCCTGCGTCAACCCCGCATTAGACTTGCTTGCAAAATGGACTGCAATGGGTTATAAGCCAGTGAAAATTGTGCTGAGATTCACTGATATGGAAATGAACAATTACTGACCTCTAAAGCTACTTTTTGCAATACTTATTTAATAATTTTGTATGCTATACAATTAATGCAATTTTCCTGAATGATCTACACATTTAATGGTTTTGGGTCAGTATGACATTTAAATGTTTTTAAAAGAAGCCTCTTATGCTTACCAAGGGTGCATTTATTTGATCAAAAATATAGTAATAACAATAATATTGTGAAATATTATTACAATTTAAATTAACTGTTTTCTATTTTAATATGTTTTTAAGTGTAACTTATTCCTGTTATTGCAAAGCTGAATTTGTCACAGTGTCACATGATCCATCAGAAATCATTTTAATATGCTGTTTTGGTGCTCAAGAAAACATTTCTTATTATTATCAGTATTGAAAACAGTTGTACATTTAAAAAAAACTTTTGAATTGTATGATGTACATTTAGAGGGTGTTCTCAGGATATATTAAAACTATGAATTGGTATTTTTATTAATATCATGGTATTTAATGATTTTAATTGATTGACAGCCCTAAATGTGTACAGTTCCATTTCAACGACAGTAAACTGCACCCTTCAAACAGTGCCTCTCGGCTGAAAACTGTTTGTAATCAAAGCAACGCTGTCATCTTTAAACTTCCCCCATCATTTCCACCGATACAGCAGGATGAGGGACACACTAGACGCTGATGAAAGATTTCAGAGCCCGTGTCCTCGCTCTGCTCAAGAAACGTCCACAGGATGCTGTGATCGCACGCTGCTTGATGAGTACACGCTGTCTGACTGCAGCTGCTGTCCTGCCATTTAAAAAAATGTATGTCTCATTCCAGCAAAACATTCGGGACAATTCCCAAGAACTTAAACTACGTGTCACACCTCTGTTCTCCTGGTGAAGACAAGATTATCAATAATCTCATATTTTCACACAGATTACACATTACAGGCAGCAGCCTTGAGGTGAGGTATAGACTTGGATCCCATCAGTGGGGGCATTAGTTTGGATCCCACCATATTGTGAAATTGATCTTGTATCTGAAAGCCAGGATTGCTCTTCTGACAGCTGCTGTACACTGGGTTTCATTTAAACACACTCCATGTCATCTAAACACCTTGAATGTGACAGCGGCTGGGAAGAGGGAGACAAGCACCAAGTAAGCGGTTTACTTTACAGACAAATTTCTGTCAGAAAAGCACAAAATAATTTGTCAAAATTGTTTTCTTTCTTTAGTTGTAACTGCATAAAAGTGCAATGGTAAAAAAAAGACATTTCATGACGATTTAAAGTAATACATTGAGCTTCCAGGCAAAAGAAAATGTTTAACTGACATAATTAATCTGTTTTAGTGTTAGTGATCATCTCAGCTGTTCGGGAATTGACTGAACACAATCAAGAGGGATGGTCAAGAGCACAGACTGTCTGATCCTGTCAGATGCTAATCTATACCCATCTCTTTCACAATGTACTCAGCACGAACCCACCAAAATAAATTGGAGTCTACTGCCCTCATTTTAACACCACAACTTTTTGTTCTCTTCTTGAGCCTGTTGACATATCCATCTGTTTTTTTGTCCAAACACTTGTTCTTCTCTTTTTTTTCCAAGCTGATCAGCGGAAAGAAAACTTATTTCACATATGGAGAATTCTACAAAATAATTACTATTATTATTATGATCAACCTTCACTATATATACTGTATATATACTGTGTATATATATATATATATATATATATATATATATATATATGTGTGTGTGTGTGTGTGTGTGTATTCTAGGATATAATATCATTCTATATACAACTCAAAGTAATGCTCAAAAAACTCTAAATTGTGTGTAGTCAAGGTCAAGAAACACAAAACAAAAAAAATAATGAGTGGTCATTTTGGGCTTCTGTTGGTAGTATGAGCATAAAATCTCTGTGATGTTCACAAATTAATTATAATTAATCCTTTTGTGAATGAATGCAGCCATTCAGATGAAGCATATGGCTGGACACCAGTTGAAAGGCTGCCCATTTGTTTAGCTCTAGAATTAAAAAATATCCACTCTTTTTCACCCATAGCCTATTTTTGAGTTTACCTTCTGTTAATTGCTAATTCTTTTTTTTTTTCCCAGCATGCACAGGAGCATCATCAGAGCTCGGTTTCTATTTATCCTCGCAGCTTAGAGGGATCATTAATTATAATGTTATTTGGTTTTGGTATTTAAACTTAGTGCCAGGTAATGTCAGTTACTGTACAGTAGGGCTGCACGATAAATCGCATGCGATATTTAAATCCCATGCGATTTATCGTGCAGCCCTACTGTACAGGCTATGGATTGACCCTATCTGGGTTTGAATGTGGGTCATTAACCCAAATTCGTAACCACAGCCACCATATAAAGTACCATATAAAACATCTAAACTGAATTGAACTGAACTTGGAGTAGTGTCTGTGTTCCTGTCTGTGTGGCCTATTACTGTTTAAACCACAGCAAACAAATCAATGTCGAGTTCAATGTTCCCTTAATTCATTAAAGACTCTGCAAGAGAAATGCCAAGACAACCGCAGCTACAGGGGAGAATAATCTTTAAACACAAACATGGTCAAATACACACACACAAACATCTAAAGTATGCTCTCATGGGATCCCCGCTCAATACCTTTTCAAACAAACACACACACATACTTACACACACTTGTAGCCTACAAGTAAACAAGTATACTACTAGTGCTACTATTATTATTAAAATTTAAAATAACTGTTTTCTGTTGTAATATATTTTCAAATGTAATTTATTCCTGTGATGGCGAAGCTGAATTTTCAGCAGCCACTGCTTCAGTCTTCAGAAATCATTCTAATATGATTATTTGGTGTTTAATAAACATTTATTATTATTATCAATGTTGAAAACACTTGTTCTGCTTAATATTTTTGTTTTTCTTAATATTTTAAGAGAGAAGCAGCCAGAGATTCACAGCGCCTTCAAAATAATCCAGCTGAGGTGCGTAGACCAAAAAAGTTTCCCAAAGGTGAAGAGCTTGAAAAAAGTCCTTGTCAAGGCTTGGCATTGAAAATGGTCAACATGTGACTGAAACGTTTGCCTTGTTTTTACTCAGTAAATTGCTTATATTGCTTTCATCTCGCTTGTTGACTCTTTAATGTTTGAGTGTGCTGACTTTTTTTTCAAGCTCTTCACCTTAATATTTTAAGAACATGATTCTTTGAGGAAAAAAAACCCATTTATTTTTTAAATAGAAATCTTTTGTAAGATTATAAATATCTTTACTGTCACTTTTGATCAGTTTAATGCATACTTTCTGAATAAAAGTATTAATTTATTAAAAAAAAACCCCCAAGCTTTCAAACTGTAATGTTGTTAGGACTTCTTCAGAAATGTGTAAAATGTGTTTTTGCTAGGACTTCTTCAGAAATTTGTGAAACAATTGTGCAGACTATTACTGCCCCATGCACATATACACGTGTTAAAACCTTCAACTACTTGGGTGGTGTCCTGTCCATGATCTCTGTGTAGACAGTGGATGTGAAGCAAATTAAAGTTCACTTGTAATTTCATGCTTGAGGCCACAGCCTGCGCCAGCTTTACGCTGCAGTTACTCACTGAGACAAGCAACCTACGATTACAGTGACTTTCCCAAACACACAGAGTCTGTCCTGACTGTTAATGTGGTTTGTTCATGCATAGT